GTACGTTAGTTGTTGGTTTGGTTGGTTTGTTTCGTTCGTAGTAAGTAACGACGACTATTTACTTATTATACTACTACACTGATCTGTAGTATAGTTATTATGTGTGTGTGTGTGTGTGTGTGTAGTATATATATATATATATATATATATATATATATATGTATATTTATCTACATCGTCATTTGAGCCTTATCCCAACTAGTTGGGGTGGGCTACGTGAATCATGTTATGCCATTCCCCTCTATCAAGAGCTGTGCCCTCAGTTAGACCATAAGTTTTTTCTTTTTTTCTTTTTTGGGTAGGTTAGTGGGGATGGGGTCCCCACATGTGTAGAAATAAAACTCAAGATGACATGTTGTGGCGACCCCCCACCTGTGTAGGAATGAAACTCAAGATGACATGTTGTGGTGACCCACCACCCTGACTACCTAGCCTTAAGCCCATTCCTAGTCAGACCATAAGTCACTATATTTCTTCTCATTATTTCTATCCCTGTCTTTTTGGGCCTTCTTTTTATCCTTTTAGAGCTTTCCACTTGAACCAAATTATCCCTCCGAAGCAGAACTGTTCTAGGTTGGCGTTGTACATTAGTCAGACCACTTGAGTCTACTTTCCCTTATTTTATTGCCTATTGGTGCTACCCTTAGGTTCCTTCAGATGTATTAATTTCGAGTTCTATCCTTTCTTGTCTTGCTACTCATCTATCTCAGCATCTTTATCTTAACCACAGTCATTACATGGATATGTTGTTTCTTGACCGCACAACATTCTGTCCCAAAATGTATGACTGGTCTTATTCTATAGAACTTTTCCTTCAGTTTTATTGGTATACGACGATCCCATAGGACTCTAGAAGTGTTGGGTGAGTGTGGCTATTAAAGGCCTTATGAGTGCTTGTAAAATGAAATATATATAGTGGAACATGAACTCAGTGGGAGTGTGGTCCCTTGTGGATCATACCAAGCAAACAGTATTTGCTGATAGTAGACTGTGCTTGACGTGTTAGGTCAGTCTGGTTGGAGAAAACCCATATTACCTGGGCTTTGAGAATTGTACCGATGAGGGTTATATGGATTATCCCTTGATGAGGTCGGGGTATGCCTGTATGAGTGAGTCGAGGGACTGTGTAGCCCTTGTGTGTGATGGAGGGCTTCAAAATGTGGCCAAAGCCTCTTCATTTGTACCATCACACGACATGTATATCGATAGCTGTTTTCGAGAAAGCGTACCACTTTTCAGGGTGAAGCGTATGCATGTGCGAGAGATACCCCCTGTGCACCATCGAGCTATGGATTGTATCAGGTCAGGATGACCTTGGGTTTCGTCTCCAGGGGGACCTGAAATCCATATATTAGGACTGTGACCCCTTGCTCATTGGCTAGACTTGGGTGACCTACTAATGACCCCTTGCTTATTGGCTAGACTTTGGTGACCTACTAATGACCCCTAGCATGGACTGTGGGTCATGGGCAACGTTGGGTCAGTTTGAGAAAGCATGTGTGGTTCGTCGTTCGCGGTTGGACATGGAGTGCCCTAGTGGATATTTATTCCTGGACCATATGGATCCTTTTCCCATCAAAGTTTTTAATTTTGTTTATTTTAATAATATATGATTTTTTAGAGTTGTTATTTGAATTTTTTTGAATCTCTGGATATTTTATTTATCAAATTTAGATTTATAAAAACAAAGATATTGATTTTATAATGATTTAAATATTAAAATAATCATTTTGTGCATTTCCAAAAATATAAAAAAACATAATTGAATGGGAGGCCCAATAGGTCTTTTGGGCCCACCATTGCAACTTGGGTGGACCCCCTGTATGTGCCCAAATAGGTGGCACGCTCCACCTAGAGAAACCTACTATGTTGTAGAGATCAAGCTCTAAAGCTTGAGAGATAAGTTTGTGTTGTTTTAAGTAAGCTTGAGCTTTGAGGAAATTTTGAATAATATTTTGGTATGTATGAGAAAGCTTATGCATAAAATAAGAAAGGATAATATTATGATATATTAATTTTTTATTTTGAATTAATTGATGGGAAATGGTTTAGGAAGTGGGGGATAATGGTCTAGCACCTTTCATAGGATGTTGATGATCCATCTATGGAATGAAGAGCTCATATCTTTCACCCTACAAGTCACCCAAGGTCAATGGTGCATATTTAATCGCACATGAGTGGCAAGCCGAAGAAAACCTTAAGAAACCCTAATCTTGTTCAAGCACTATAAAAATGGATTGATCCCTACTCAAATTTCTACACCTTATCTCATACACATAGTTTTCATCTCTCTCTCCCTTAACCCACCAAAGGGGGCACGCCCCACTTAGAATATATCTCTCTCTCTCTTGAAAGTCCTAAAAGGGGGGCACGCCCCACTCTCTCTCATCTTATGATTCTCTCTCATGGTGTCTCTCATGATCTCTCATCTCTCTTTGGGGTTTAGACTATGAGGTTGTGGTAGAAAAGAGAAGCATCTCTCAAACTAGGTTGCCAAGGGGATTCACAGTGTTTGTGATCAAAAGGGTTCATGTTCCATTGGGGTGGCTTGTCCAAACTTGCTTTCCCGGTTGAGATTGAAGGTTTACCATTAGATCCCGTGCCATCGAAAGGTGGTAACTCGGTGTGGGGTGTTAGAAGCCCGGTTGAGGTAATCTCTGACACCCTCTTTTGTTTCATCCATATTTATTTATTATATTTGTTATTCTCAAACATAGGATATGTCTTTTCTTTGTTAATGAAAAGTGTGATTTTGAATGACTTCAAGTTCTTGAGATCCTATTGTATTATTTTCTTTTACTTTATTTGAAGTTGTTATATCGTAAAATGACTTCTTGTGAGTGATCTAGACCATGAAGAAAAGAAAAGAAATTGAAAAAAAAAAAAAAAATAATTATATACTCAGGCTAGATCACACGTGTCCTTCTTTCAAGAAGTACATATCCACTTCGTCCACCTCAATCTCTCCATTCTCATGTATTATCGATCCAAGATATGGAAAAGAAATTTTCTTAGGTATTTCTTAGCTTCAATCTTAATTACTTCCTCGTTTCTACTCCTATTGTTACTAAACTTATATTTCATATATTTTGTCTTAGTCTAGTTGCTATTAAAACCTTTAGATTCTGGAGCATCCCTCGAAAGTAACTTTACATTGATGCCGTCTCTAGTCTCATTAATCAGGGCTATGTCATCTATAAACAACATACACCACAGTGCCTCATCCTGTAGATACCTAGTTAGCTCGTCCATAGCCAAAGCAAGATATTGGCTCGACGTTGATCCCTGATAAAGGCATTTTGTCACTGAAAACTCACTTGTCCAGTAATTGTTCCCACACTAGTTAACGCTCCCTTGTACATATCCACACCATGTCAATATATCTTCTAGAGCCTATTTTTTTTCCCAACACCCACCAAGTTAACTCTCCAAGCACCTTAACATATGTTTTCTCTAAATCAATAAAGACCATATGGAGATCTTTTCTCTTCTTTTTAAACTTCTTAGTCAATTGCCTAAGTCGGAAAATACCTTCACCTCACCGGCATAAACCGAACTGATTTTCTAATATATAAGTGTATGTGTGTGTGTATATATAAACTGTGATCTTTCTTTTGTGGCAAAATTTGATTTACTTTATAGTTTTACCACACTAGATTGTTTTTCTAATTCATAGTTTTTATAGTTACTTTGTGGTTTGTTTTATAATGGCTGGGTTATAAGCTACATTAATTTTCGACATGGTAAAAAGGAAACTACTGCATACATGAATCACTGAGAAATTGAGCAGTATGCCTATTTGCTGTGTGCTATTTGTCAAATGAAAACGATTGGTTGTTTGTTTGATTGTTAGTAGTAAGTTACTGAGATGCTGGATTATATTCATGATTTTCATGATATTACTGGAGTTTTGTGTGTTAACATTTGTTTTAAATTATGTGGTCCCTTGAAATAATGCTTGCTTTGTTTAGTTTATGGTAAATATTACGTAAGTTTCATGTAAGTAGTAGTTCTCTCTTTTACAACATGATCTTTTGAAACTATGACACCTAAGTTGCAAATGTAATCTGTTTGGCATTTCAGAGCAGTTCTTTCTTATCGTTAGCGCCCTGTGCAGGTAAGTTATGCGAATGTGATCTCGCCATTAGCTGAACTTGAAGCAGAACAATTTCCTCTGGTGCAATCCTGTACCTTCCAGAAAATGGTATCTGCTTCAGATGATTTACGCCAAGCTAGTTCTGAAGCAGAGAGAAGAATTGATGTGCATCTTCTGATGTGCAGGTCGAGACTGTTATCTCTTCTTCATATTATCTGCTATACTCATTTTTAGCTCAATCTGGAGACTTTCCTTCATTAAAATATTTTTTAAACCTCTGTTTCTCTTTATATGGTTATGTTCATGTAATTGCTTATTACTTCATTACCATGCATGGAGGCTGCAAACTTCTCTTTTTTTTTCAGTGAATATTAAAGGAATGGCGGAAAAATCACTTTCTGACATGTATACTTGGGCTACTTTTCCGCAATTTTTTCTTTTTTAATTAATTACTTGGAGGCCATTTGGCATCTGAATTTAAGTTCTCATATTTGGAGTAGTCATCATTAAGGGTCTGCATTGGTCATGGGCTGATGAAGTTTTTGTTCTATTTCTGTTGGTACTAGTTAAAGGCGTCTGTTCACATTATTTTATCATCGTAGTCTCTTAAGGATGTTTCTCTCTGTGAATTATATCACAAATGTGAGCCATGGTTGTACACGACATGGTTGACTGTGTTTGGTATACTTTTCCGTGGCATATGTGGTCCTTCAATTATATAGTCATGTTTGATGGATTTGGTTTGTCTCACGACTTTCTTCTTCTTTTTTTTTTTTTTTCAGATGAGTGATTTTGATCTAAAATACCTTTTTTCATTGCAAGGTTATCAGCCAGCGAGAGGATGTATACCGTGTTATTAAGGCTTTAGCTGCTAAAGGTGAATGGATGAGCCCTGAAGCAAAGCGATATGTTCAATGCATGGTAAGAATATAACTAAGTGTTAGCTGTTTTATGGCACTTGATTGGTAATGCGGGACTAACTCTTCCTTGTTTGCAATTTTTGTCTTTTTACTACAAATGTAAGACTTTTATGTATTTTCCATATATGTGGAGAGCTTATAATAATGTTATGTTGTTTGAACTAAGTTACATACTGTTTTATTGTTGAAATTATGTTTAGAAATTGGTTCTGCGTGAGCTAATGGTGCATTTGGGAAGGGGTCAAAATCTTTTTTTTTTTTCTCACCCCACAAAATCCATGACATTGTGTTGATGGTCAACACTCCACCATTTGGTAATTTCCTTTTTCCCCCTTTTCGATTGGTTCGGTCATGCAATGCACGATGCCACTTTATTCTTATTGTATGGAGTGCAACTGCAATTAGACGCTGTTGCTGACCCATTACCTTCCATAACCTTTCCTGCTCCAGTGCTTAAACGTACCTCATTTTGCGTAATTAATTTTGTAGATGTGTCCTCACATTCTTTGGACGGTGTACCAGCTCAGTTAGTTCTTGCGTAGATTGTTTCCTTTGACTGGCATAGTATGGGAGAGTTCTTGCTTAGCAGGAGATGCAAAAGACGTCACCTGTGCCGTATTTTCGCAAAGACATCCTTAAATATCCTCATTGAGACCTATAGCTTACAGAAACCATTGTAATTGCAATGCATGTCCTTGCTGCTTACATTCCCATAATTGGGACATTGTTCCTCCAGTACAAGTTTTATTTGGGTTTTCAATGCTGTTACAAATGCATCTTTATCCTTTATGATCATGGTAAATTTTGATCCTTTAGAGTATACCCTAGTTTGTTGAGAAGCCTAAAAACTGCATCAAATTCCACTTTGAAATTCTCTACCTTACGCCACTTGTTTATACCCATCTCAATGTTGGGCAGTTGTTCAGCCCAGTTTTTTCAAACTCAGACAAGGCCGTGGAACTGGGCAGGGACAAGGTCTGAGTCAGCTTGTCAGATTAGGCTGACTTTTAGGCAAAAAAAAAAAAGACAAGGAAAAATAAATTTGGTAACTGGTGAGACTCTTAATGAAATGTTAACATAGTTTTTGTTGTATTGGATGTTGCTTTCCTTGCTTTGAAGGGATCAACTGGCTAGGATTTGATGCAATTGTTTATCATTCTTTTATACAGATTAAGGACTTCGAGCGGAATGGTGTGAACCTTAGTTTGGGCAAGAAGGAAGAACTTGAGCGCCTGAGAACAATAATAGATGAATTAAGTGCACGGTACATAGAAAATCTAAATAGTGATAACACTTCCCTTTTTTTCAAAGAGTCCGAGCTGGTTGGGGTGCCATTGGAGTTTATTAAGGTCAGTGTTTTCCTTGTTTTTATTCTCTGTAGTGTCGTTCCGTTTTATGCATCTTTATTGATGCAGAGTATGGACTGCTTCATTGAATAAATCATCATCATCATCCAAGCTATATTTTAATTAATTGGGGTTGGCTACATGAATCCTGTTCCTCCATTCTTCTTTAATAGGTTCAGGATTCATGATAAGATGTGGTAAAATTTTATGCTGGCTGCCTACCTAATGCTACGCACTTCCTAGACCCAGGTTTGAGATGGGTTAAGGGAAAGTTTAAGGTCCTCATCCGTCTTAGACCAGCTTCATTGAATTCATATTGGAAAGAAAATTCCAATATGAATTGTAATTCCAATACACATGCATCTAATGAATAATGTCATGTATCCAATGTCGGTCTTAGTAAGAATGCTGACAATTGTCTAGTTATTCTTCTCACATGATTCTTTTCATGATATGAAACTCAAGTGTATCATTCAGCTTCATTTCGGTCAACTTTTGGAACTCCACTGGAAGTAGTGATTGGAAGAGCATTTCTATTAGCTTCTTTTGTGTGATGTTTCATTTTGCGACTTACTTACTAAGATGGCCCTTGTGTTTAAGAGAAAATAAACCTTTATAGATGGGAGTGGAATGCCAGCACACTCTTTGTGTTTTTTTTTCTTCAAATAAATATAAATCTTATTTCTTTTTCAAGAAATTGAAATTTCAATTGAATGGAAGGTTTGGGGGTATTTGTCCTTTATGGCTATTGTTTCTAGATTTGTGTGTTTTTTAATTCAGAAGCCAACTTGTCATCTGGACCCTTAGATCAATCTTTTAAGCTTTCTTTTTTTTGTTTTGTTTTTGTTTTTTTGGGTAATTCAGTGGGGAAGATAGGCCCCTACCCGTTTTCTCAAAGAGATTAGGAAGTAGCTGTTTCGAAAGTATTAGTGGGATGGTGTTAGTGGTGGAACTAGAAACCACAACGTGGCGATCAAGGTGTGGGGTCCTGCCACCACGACCCAAGCCCCTTAGATCAATCTTTTAAGTTTTTTGATGTAGTCTTTTAAGTTTTTTGATGTAGTCAAGGTTCAGTAGATGTTGTCACGGTTGTAGCACTTGCTCCCTTAAAGTTACTGACCATTATAACAAGAAACAAAAAATTGAGAATGGGAAAATAGCAGGATGGAAATAACAGAAAAAAACTAGAATGATTTCTATAGATATTTTAGTTTAGTTTTTTTTAATATTACTATGTTATTTTTTATTGGTATCATTTTTTTAAATATTAGTGAAACATCCATGACTTATTTTTCCCTCTCATTCAAGGAAATTGAAAAAATGACAGGCATCATGTAAATGCCTAATTGATGCTTTTTAATTCTCATCTGTCACTGTTATATATTGCAACAGGTTGCCGGACTTACCATTATGACAACCATTATAGTGGTTGTAACACGTCAATTTGTAACCATGATCTTGGTTGCAGGAACCTTGCACACTTGCATGGCATTCCGACTCCTACAGTAGACACTCGTTTCGCAATTCCTAGGCAATTCCATATGGAATACCATCTATTTGTGCATTTCCTTTTTAGCTCTCGTAGATTTTATTTATGCGTTCTCTGTTCCCTGTAAGTTTATATTTTTAAATATTTGGGATTTATTGGGTGCTAAATTGATTATATTAATCTATTTAAGTAGTCAAATCTAAGGAATGCAACTTATCCTCTTTCAACAACCAGTTATGAGGTTTCCCTAGATTTTCAAATGACTATTCTACTATTTGTTTTTGGTAAATTTATCAATATACACCTAACATTTGAACTATTTAACAGTTCACTCTAGGTGTATCTTAATAACTTTCAAAACCCATTTTGTTGTGTCATTTGATGGGTAATTTGAAATTTGACCAAAAAATTGATGCGTAATTTGAAATTAGATGAAGAAGTAGCGGTAAGATGTTAAATAGTTCAAATCATAGGTGTAGTTTGATAAATTTCCTTTTATTTTTTAATTTTTGAGTTACTTTATATTTCCTTTCCAAATTGAAGTACCCTTTCAAAAAAGATTTGGGAGTGCTGCTTACTTTTTTTAATTATTTCTTGAAGCTGAGTTACCTTATATGCCCTTCACAAGTACAAAAAATGGTGATTATGTTTAAGGATGCTTGTCATCATGTTGGATCTTTCAGCCGATCTTGGGGTCCTGGGTTCTTCTTGTCTTGTTTTGGATGACTAATACCTTGGCGAATGATACTCATCAATTGATACAATTGGAAATTGTTAATATGCTTCAATTGATAGACTTGAATTACCTAATCGTAACGTTAAGGCATCTTTGTCTGTAATGTTGTTCACATATTTGATGACATTAAATAACTTTTGGAATAAGTCCATTTTCTCTTTTATCTTTATACTGAAACTTTTTGGATTATAATGTGACTTTCAAGGTGTTGCATTGTTTCTCCAATAAGTTGGTAAAAGTTTTAAAATGTTATCTCATGCCTCTCACTGAAGGACTTATTGGAGCAAAGGAGTTTGTTTTTATATCATTTGTATTGGGGTGACTGACATATTTTTTACTGAGAGCCCCGTCTAGTGGGGACTCTCGGATTTCAACCAATATGTACTCCAACTCTTTATAGCAGTACAAATGTTAACTTTTATCAAAAAAGAAAAGAAAAGATGGTGTCATTTTATTTTGTGGTTTTATTTCATTTCCCCCGTCATAGCTTTCTGCATGATGTTGGGACTTGAGATTGTTTCATTGACTAATTCCCTGTGTGATCTATTGTAGCATGTGATAGTCCTGTTCATGTAGCTCATTGGAAAAGAATATCTAGTTGATATTCAGTTGTGGAACTTATCTCATTGTTTGTAGGGCCTAAGCAAAGCAGATGATGGGAGACTAAAGGTCACTCTTAAAAGTCATCATACATTACCGGTTTTGGAATATTGTAAAGTATGGATCTCTAGATACTTTGGTTAGCATTTGCATATGTCTTATTCTATTTCTTTTTTGTGGTTTTCGTATACTTGTTATTGAACAATGTATTGTAGCTCTTTTTTGGTAATTATTGATTTAGTCACGATTCTTTAATAAAACGTAAATCATGTTTTATATCTCTGCATAAACATATTTACAAATGAAAAATATTCCATGTGAACTTGGACCTCATGAAGTTTTCCAAGAGTGAAAGATTTGATCCAAAATACTTGTCTTTCTTTGACATAGATGATGACGGCCAGTTTATACTCGCACCGTAACAAGGAACCGGCTGGTTGGACTTGTTTGGACCAAATGAACTGGCAGATGCGACCAGTTTGGACCAGTTATTCTTTTTTTTTTTTTGTAAATATTTTCTAGACCACTCTGACAAGTGAACTGGCTAGTCTGTCTAGTTTGGACTGGGTTGGTGCCCTCATGGGTTTGATGACCAATCCGGTTTGTAGTTACAGGGATCTTCCACCTCAGGTGGGGATCTTGCTTCAGAATCACACTTTAGCATTTTGATCAACGAATCTTCATAGAATTCGGCTCTTTAAATTTAGGAATCTCGCTTCTACCTTTTAGGAATCTTGAACCAAGTTATTTGGAATCCGAATTCCATGCATCAAAACGTAGGGTTCATGGGTGCACCAAACCATGATTGATCAATATGGAATCTTGCTTCTGCTTTTTGGAAATATCGATCTTAGTTATTTGGAATCCAAGCATGAATTGCCTAGTGGACTATACTAACACTTTTAACAAGTTCGGGTTCAACGTAAACAATAAACTTTATTATTTCTTAGTGGTAGAATGATTGCAAAAATATTATGAAATGCTTGGAATTTTTTTAAACATTATTTTAAACAAGGTAAACTTCATTATTCCCTAGTGGTAAAATAATTGCAAAAAATTATGGAATACTTGGAATTTTGTAAGCATCATCTGCAATATTTGTTCTTTAAATTTTGTTATTAATTGTAACTTCTCTGTTCAATGAGGATAGGTGTTTAGAAACTCTACTTAACATCATTTTCTAAGGTCCATAATCCAAAATAAATGTCTCATTTCTTAAAAATCCATTAATGACAAAATCAAATAAATTTTCTTTCCTTATCCAATTTAGAAACTCCAATAAGCCTCATCTAGTTAGGGGCACTTGATGACAGTGATTCAAATACTTGCGGGGAGCCATGAGTGAGGACACTCATTACATGGATTCCAATACCAGGGGAACCCTTGTTTAGGGCAATCGAGGACTTCAATTCTTATACTAGGGGAATCCTGGCTGAGCATACTCAATACAACAAGTCTAAACTAAGGGATTCTTGGTTAAGGATACTCGAGAACCTCGAACCTTTTGCCTTGTGAAACTCATTCCTTGATAATTACTTGCGTAATTCCAACTGTTTGGGAGCCCAATTCCCAAAAGGTGGGAGTCTCAATTCTTGAGTGTGCATTGTAAGGACGACGCTTGCTAGCATAGGAAGATTCTAGCCTCTCATTATTTGAAGCTTCAGATTCCTAAAATGCTCTTGCTTCCAACAACTCTAGTCTGGTCTTAAAAACGTTCTTTTAACCCATTAAAGCCATTGCCGAATTGTCACCATCATCGTCAGAGCCTTTTCCCAACTAATTGGGGTCAGCTACACGAATCATGGTCTGCCATTCTGCTCTATTAAGGGCCACACACTCAGTGAGGCCATAGGTCCCCATATCTTTTCTCTCTACTTCCAACCATGTCATTTTGGGCCTACCCATTTGAACTAACTCGTACTTCCGAACATGTTCTGTACTGGGTCTATGCCACACATGGCCAGCCCTCTTAAGTCTACTCTCTCTCATCTTATCGCCTATTGGTGTCACACCTAAAATTTTCTGAATGTATTCATTTCGAATTATATACCTTCTTGTCTTGCCACTCATCCGTCTCAACATCCTCATCTCTGCTACACTCATTCTATGGGTACGCTGTTTTTTTACTGCCCAACATTTCGCCCCATAGAGCAAAGCTGGTCCCACTACCAAATTGTATTATGAAATATCATAGATAACTAATCCTTGAACCTGGGATAACATCAACCCCACCGATGCTTCGACAGATAAAGACATCGCTTGAATCATGATGGATTAAGGAATCTGTGTGTGTAGGGGTGTATATGTGTGCGCGTGGGTGTGTGGATATAGATATATAAAGATTTGGTCTGCCTATGGGTGGACCACTAGAAACCATAACTAGGGGACCCTTTGGAACCCAAATATTGGGGGTAAGCCTACTCATCCTAGCACCCACGAACACGGACTGTCGATTTCTTGGACAATAACTCTAATTCAGCTTTTTCTTAAAATGTTCATATGGTGGCGGTGTGGCAATCCACAAGATTTAGGTCAAACAAATTACCCTAGGCCACGGTCTACCATCATTTTAGACCACTCAGAATGTTTGACCACTATTCACTATATTTTCTGTCATCGAAAAAAACCATTTCTTTGGGGTTTCTACCAAAAAGTTTTTATGATCTTGTTCATGGGACGCAAGAGAGTGTGGGAACAGACTTTGTGCACAAGCTATTGTATCAGAGGCCTAAAAAATTATGTAGGGCAGTCTCTGTAACTGTGAGCCCCTGGGAGGACCAAATCTTTTTCAAAATGTATATTTCTTTGTGTGGGTATGCACATGCGTGCTCATGTGCATGCATCTGTGTATGCGTTGGGGGGCTTGGGTTGGCATGCTCAGATGAGATTTTGGGATATTATTTAGTTAGATGACTTATTCTTTCTATATTAGATGATAGTCTTATTATAGTCTATAGTTTTGAATTTTCTGCTTTGGTGAAGGTAGGAGCTACAAGAAGAACGGTGGCAATTGCTCGTGGGAAGAAATGCGGGGAGGAGAATATGCAAATTCTAGAAAAACTTGTAAGTTTCTCATTGGTGCTGTTTTGTTTGATAAATGACAAGAATATAGTTGCTCCTCCATACAACATTCCTGCATCTTTTTGAGAGAACTGAGAAATTGTTTCTCTCATACTGGTTATAGCTGTAATCTGATAGATAACCACGTAGGCATAAGGAAACTGACACTCAGCTTCCTTTGTAACTTTCTGCCACATTCGTGTAAAAAATTTACATTGTCTTTATTGCAAACTAGGCAGAAACTATAGATTCATTATATGAAGAGCTACTCTCATGAAATGAGAGTTGAGTCCTGGAAGGCCAGAACACCTAAATCAAAGTTCAATTTCCATTGCTAACCTAATGACCACTTAACCCCAGAAGAGAAAAAAAACGCACGTTGACTCTTAACCCTTGCATATGTTGATTGAAGTTAGATTTACATGATAATAGTAATCCAATATACAGTATTGGGACACTAGGTTGTACCTTGCTCTTGTATAATTGGAAGCATAGGAAACAAAAGCAAATATTAAATGACATTCGAGCTTTTTCAATGAAGTTCTAGTAACAGGAAGATAAACATTTACTGCTCCCCTGCTATACAAAGGGAGAAAGGCACAGCACCTTTTCTTTGCATGAATTCATTAAATAGATTGGGAAGTGGTGTGACAGCTAGGACTGTTAATGTGTATTGATGGCTAATACATGCGAAGTCCAGTGTCCTCCAGCAATTCCTTGCACTTAACTCATTTTGCATTAGTAGTACTACTTCAGTAATTGGGCCCTTGTTTTCTTTGTATTGAATACTTAGTTATCTGTTTCTATATCTGTTATTGTTGATTGAGTTAGATATAAATGTCGGGTGACAATTTATCACTTCTCCTTTTCTTTCAGGTTCAAACGCGAAATAAAATAGCTCGTTTACTTGGATATTCCAACTATGCTGAATATGCCCTTGAAACTAGAATGGCAAGGACATCAACAAAGGTTTCTTCTATTCATTTCTTATTATATTGAACAGTTAATATTTATGCCTTTTCTCTATTGTCTTCTACACATTTTTTTTGTGTAAATGAAATAAGGAGTACTGCAACCATGTTGAGGCATGAGGCTCATGGAGTGAGAGGCTTGTTTATGGGAGTGATAGGGCATCATGTCTTGTGTTGGAATTTACTCCTTGTTGCCCCGTAAGCGACAGACTTGTGAGTGGAATACCAATCATAATGGGAACTTGGCTTGTGTCAGTAAACAGAAGGGATAATTGGCTTGTGTCAGTCAAAGTTGAATGTCGGTTGTTGGGGGCTGTGCTTATTGAGAGGCTTTCACTTCATGAGGTGCTCTGTTATTGTAGAAAGAATTGTACAAACCGATTAACTTGAAAGGCGAACCTCTACTCCTTTAGAGTCAATTCAACTCCACAATGTCCCTGGACTCTTCTTTATGGTACCATACCAATGTCAGAAACACTCCAGACCTATACCAACTATAAGTTTTTGTTAAGGGGAAGAAAAGAGATAAGGCAAGCTTCATATAAGAATCCAGAATCTAGTTTATGCATATCAGTTATTAGTACTGCTATAATAAAGTTTAGTTAGCTTGTAGTTCCATCTTGAGATTTATCTTTCTCTCTGGTTATACAATTGGTTACCTAGTTTTTGACATTATTTGTTGTTCTTGCCTCGTGAAATCCTAATTTTCTTATGGTTATTATTGTGAATGGGAAGTTGTGTTTTCTCTTTCCAGGTCTATGAATTCCTGGAGAATATCTCTGTGAATCTGACTGAGATGGCGAATAAAGAACTTACAATGCTTAATTCACTAAAGGTTTGTGAATCTTTTCATGAAGTGATATTATGATTGAGTAATATTCTGACTGGAAGTTTAATTTCGGACTTTCTGGGGCCTTCAGAAGAAAGAAGAAGGGGAATCTCCTTTTGGACTTGAAGATATGTTGTACTACACGAGGAAAGCAGAAGAGAAAGAATTCGAAATTGACTATGGAGATGTTCAGCAATACTTTCCTGTCAACTTGGTTATATCAGGGATATTCAAAATATTCCAAGATCTGTTTGGTGAATATGATTTTACAAGTTGATTAGTGGTAGAAGCTTTTTTATTACTTTATGAATGAGAATGTTGTTATGAGACCCAAATTTAGCTTAATCCCGGCAGTGGTTTCCTTTTAATAGATTTTATTATTTAATAATCTATCTATTCTGTCCATAATATTTGTGTTTTGTAACTGGGCATTTTGTTGCATTTGCAGGTCTAAGATTCGAGGAAGTTCAAGAGGCGGAGGTTTGGCACGATGATGTTCGCTTGCTTTCTGTGTTAGATATGAGTTCCAACAAGCATATGGGTTATTTCTACCTTGACTTGTACTCCAGGTCTCCGGTGTTCAACATTAAATGTTTCAATTTTATACTCCAGGTATCGGGTTTGGGCTTGAGTAGTTAGCAGTTGACATTAGAAATGCTACATCTCAAGTTCAATTCCTCCTACTGAGCTACCACCAAAAAAGAAACTGTAGTAGTTGCCCCATCTATATCTTTTCTTTTGGAGATTTGGTTATTTGACCTACAATTCATTATCCTGAATGTAACTTTGTAATATATCAGGGAAGGAAAATATGGTCGCACTTGTGTTTTGTCTCTTCAAAATGGATGCCTATCCCTGAATGGCACACGTCAGGTTAGTGTCGATTTCCTTTCTAGCCTTCATTTTGCTTGGAAATATGTTACAAAATCTATTTCTAGTGTGGGAAATTCCAAAATTATTGTGATTTGTATCTCTTGTTAGTATTCGATTTCAAAAGTTGAGGTGAAAGGTGCAAACTTGCACATACATTAAACTTTTGTTTTTTTTTGTGCTTTCGTATTTTGTACTTTTGCATCTTGACTCTACTGTAGGCATTTACTAGTGATTTTGGTATAGCTAAGGCCTAAGGGCGATTCTAGCCATAATTTCATTGTCATTCATATTTAAAATTTGCCCATTCCCACTACCTCTGCAAGCTATGGGTTCTATTGTGTTAAAGACATTTGGAATAAAATGAATGGTGTTGATGTGACTAGCAATTAGTGAATAAGTGTGTCAAATGATGAAGTTTGGTTTACTGGCATATTGCTGGAAAGGGGTTTGACTTTTGGTAATGATAGGAACTGTTTGGTGTTGTCAAATCTCTAGTGTGCATGACTCATTGACAAACCAGAAGGCTTAATGCAAAACAATGATGAAGGTGGACTTAGAAAAAGCAAATTTGCTACTAAGAGGCTTGTCAACCTAGATGGCTATATTCACAAGGGATCTTAATAGGAGTGAATCAAATGTGTAGGTGAGTCTGGGAAAGGGAATCTCCAAATGGAAAGCCTCCTATGTCGATTGTGGACGGCAGGATTGTTGGTAGTGTGGGGAGTCTTTGGTGGGTACGGTCCTTTGACATCCCATCCTTCCATGTGATAGGAAGTGTCATTTTCTTGTAAGATGTAATATTTTATGGTGACCCTGTATGAATTTTCATGATTAGCGTCTTCTTTGCCACGAGTTTCAGACAATTCCCAAAAGAGTGACTACTTTGACTGGTTGCTCTGACCAGTTATGTTGCAAATTCCAAGTTATTGGTATCTTAACTGGTTGAACATGTCACTTGTTAAGGCTTAACATTCCCTCCCAAAAAAAAAAGAAAAATTGACATCGAGCATCAATATGGATCATGATCTCTCCTTGTGATACTTTTATAAACGGAAAAAGTTTGTATAGGGTTGCAACCTTATACTATAGAAGTAAGGTTACCTCAAAAATCCAGTAGAAAAACGTGTTCCAAAGTTGGAAAACCTTCGGATTGATCATCTCAACCTCAAGATATATGGATGTATAGAAGAAAAAGAATTTCAAGTCCTAAACTGTTACATTTTGTAACAAGTTATCTAGACTGTTTATTTTCAAGATTTTCAAGTATTTATAGATTTGTGCGTTCTACATTATTTTTGGAATTTTATATTTTCTAATTAGGGTTGAACATGGATTTTCAACCCCTCGTAAAGTTTCCAACAGTGGAACTACATCTTCGAGAAAATTTAGAGGTGCACCTTACTTGCACAGTATAAGGTGGGCACCTTATACAAACCTCACCCTTTGCAAAATGATGCCTTTTACTTTTGTGTAGCAAAGATTGTTAAAGCATGTATGCTTTGTGTGTTATATATATATATATATCTATATTTATTTATTTATTTATTTCTTTCTTTCTTTATTTATATTGAGGTTAGTTCAAACGATTTTGGGGGTTGTACTATATGTTGCTTTTCATGGGTAGTTTTGTTCCTAAATCTCATGTGACTTTTGCTCATGCTAACAACAATGAACCTGCCATTTTCAAATACACATGGAATCAAATCAAAGAGAAACCTGCTTTTCGAGTCCTATGTCATTTCTGCGTGCTACTCTTATGAGGCATAGCTCAAATATCCGGACTTGAACTCTACCTCGGTTTTCTATGGAAAATGTTTTGATAGGGCTGCAGCCCTATCAAAATAAGTAAAGCCTCGCCTCAAAAGTCACCAAAAATTGCTGTTCTTGCATCATAAAATTTCAAATCAATCATCTCGCCCTTGACCATTATGGTTGGAAAAAAACAAAGGATTTGAAGCCCTAAAAATAGTGTATATGGTAACACATTATCTAGACCGTCTATTTGGCTTTAAAAATAAGTGTTCATGGATCCGCAAGATCTTTACCATTTTTTTTGAGCTTCGAATTTCATAATCGGTGTTAGAAATTAGTTTTAGAGCCAACAAGAAGATTTCCGATGCCCATGCCCAAAGTGCTTTTTGGACGAAGATTTGAGATGAGACTTTGCTTTGTTTCATAAAGCTTGGGCTTTATAGAAACTACATTCATTATTTATTGGGTTGGGTAGAGGATTTTTAATTATTTTTATAAGATATAAAATAATTCAAAAATTGAAATTTTGAAGAAAATAAAAAGTAACAAAGTCATTATTTATATTGCACAGTAAAACCTGATACCGAAATTCTCATAAACTCAAGTTGGAATATGCATACCCCTTCACACTTAATATCCGTTTATGATTTTCATTTGTAATGTTTTGAATGACCTCTAAAAAGGTTTTTAGCTTTGCGGTTTGAGGGTTTTGAGATTGATACACCAGACCAAGGGATTTTATTTCCTCTTTTAAGGAAATGTTTCTAACTTCGTGCGATTATGCATTTATGAAGTAAAATATTCTTCACAATCAAATGAAATTTTATTCCTTGCAATTTTTTTAATCATCAACATCCAACAAAGATTGTTTTACTAAAATAAAATTACAAAGAAAATCAAAAAAATAAAACAAAGGTCAAGATTTCATGGCAACCTCTAAGCGCTCAAACATTAAATTTTGTCAACATAAGGTGTACCAGTTGCCAGGTCTCCCTTAAGGTTGTGTCTAAAAGTCACATTCTTGGTTTTACAAATATTGAAGTTCTCACAAATATCCAAATTATTTCTGAACATAAGAGAGATTCGTTTGACCTGGCTGCGTTAGATAGTGTCTTGTGTCCACAGTACTGGGTCGGTCGCATTGACAGGCTCAAGGCCAAACTTAAGCAAGCTGGGGTTTACTTGAGAGCTGACCGGGTAATTGACTGAACAGTTGCCTGACTGAGTCTTAGGTTGGCCTGCCAAGTTTTTGTACTATGCCTGGAAGCATTTCATTTCAGAAATATCTAAGATCTAGAGAAATAAAAAAAAAGAAACAAGAATATCATCAGCATTCATGTCTTTCTCTATTTTTTGGTTTTCTTTTGTTTGTTTGTGTTTCTATGATTCATGTTTTTGCTCTCTCTCTCTTTGTCATAAGCAAACTTGACTTATACGTCATTGTTTTTTGGATGTCCTGGTCTTCAAAGCTATTTTGTTCACGTTATTTGTCCACTATGTTCTCAATTTTGGGTCATTTTTAGGTTTCATTGATGAAAAAAATTCTTGTATTCTATGCATAATAACATGATAGTTCTCTGCATCTATATGAGTTAATGTGTTATTCAACTCATTTACCTATTGCAATAATGGTACTAACTGATTGAGTTTATATGGAGTGCGCCATAAGGATTGACTAGTGTATATTAGTTATGTTTGGATTATGATACCTGACTGCTGGGGTTACTGTGGTTCTCACTTTCCCTCTGGTTACCCCATGTGTGACTCCACGTTTTCAAAAGAAAGGTTGTGTTGTTTAGACATCTGTCGCAACTTCTATATTTTTTGTACTAGGAGAAAATATTGCTTTTTCTTGGAAGACGGTGCTTCAATGGGTTCACCTTGATATTATTCGAGGTTCAATGACATCAACTGCAGATTCTTGAGTTCATTACTTTTTAGTGATGATGCACGGCCATAGTGGAGCAGAGAGAACTAAGAAATATACTTCTTATCCCTTGTGCCCTTATTTTTGTACTTGCATTAGACCAAATTAAGTTTCTGTGTTTTGCATTATAGTTCTACGATATGTTGCCGTGATCTAACAACGAATCAATTTTTTTGTGTACATTCTCAGTTGTTTTATGCTTCTGTCATTTTACTGGAGAATTATTTTCCCATTTCCTTCAATCTGGGCAAACATAATGTTTCATAGCTTGTGTTTGTGGCAGTACTTGTAGCTGTGTAGAACACTATGTAATCACTTTTGCATATAAGTATTCTGATGATACTTTTCTACTCCAAATTTTTTCTCCATTTGCAGATACCAATTGCCTTAATTATTGCTCAATTTCCCAAGCAAGTTGGTAATAAAAAAGCACTTTTGAGATTCTCTCAAGTGGTGAATTTTTTTCACGAGTTCAGTCATGTGGTATGTATGTCTCTTTCTAAGATGCTTTGAAGGTGTGGAATTCTCATTCATTCCATGTTTGTAATTTATTATGATTTTCCATCACTTTGTTCTTTTGTAGTATGGTGGACACTTTCCCATGTTCCCATTGTTTTCTAGCATTGATATTGTTGTCTAGCTCCTAGATAATAGTATCTCCAGAATGTGTCTTCCTAAATGCTTTGTTGACTTCTCAATTCAGCAGTTTTCCTCCTCCTACCTCCTCGCTGATGTCTAGTTTTCTTACCCCAGAACCTTCTCTTCTCTCTCTCTATCACATTTCCCTCTCCTTATTCTCACTCGAACTTCCCCCAAATTGCCTTCTTTTTTTTTTTTTGTTTCCTTTAAGTGGCCTCTCATTTTTGCATATACTAAAGGCATGCATGAACTGTTTTTAACTGTAAGAGCACCCGGCCCGTGTGATGCCCGAGTACACCATGCCCTAATTTGTTTTTTTATATTTTGATATTGATATATATGTCCAATCGCTTGTTTTCCTTGGACACAAATAAGTGAACTTCTCCATGAACATGCTGTAACTATAAACTCAATCACAAAGTTTGTGATCCTTGGAAGCCAAATAATCCATCATCAGAATTTGTTGCAGCAGAATTTTTTATAGCTATATATCTCATACATTTGGGAAAACCACTGCTGCGACAATCCTAGGACTTTGTCATACCTCTGAAGTTGTGGTTATAAGCTAACAACTGTGGCAACACTGCATATGAATGGCACAATTTCACATCACCCAAATGTCCGGATGCCCCTCTTGGAAATTCTGCTGATTTTATTTTTTTGATAGCTTCTTGGTAAAAGATGCACGTCAGTTATTTCTTTCACCGTTATGAGTCGGTAACCATAATTTTCTCACTGCAGCTTGACCTTAAGTTGGTGATCCATTGAGATAGGTCGACTCTTACTTTACCATCTCAACTTATCTCATTCATGCATAGGCATAGAGATGTGCACGAATTTTTATGCCAAATATTCCCTTGGCAGTGCTGTAGGCCTGTGACTTTTTGTGTATCATAGTAGTAATGATGTAGTTGTTGAGTTTACGGGGCATGCCATGGAATAAATGATTGAACTTGTGAACTTTGCTTCTCAAACTTATGGGTTTATCATTCCTGTCCTTTGGCTGCTGCATTAACATGATGCTTGCTAATCATTCCAGCCATGGGCAGACAATTCAACGGTGTTGCATCGCCATTCTATCAGGTTAAACCTAATAAATCTTGTCCTGCATAACCCCTACAAAAGTTATTGACTTAACCCATGAAAAATTGGTGTGTATAGCATAATATTGTGGGAGTAGATTGTACACTTATTCCCACTGCCAAGCTGAGAATGTTATCATATGCCTTACCAACAACTCTGATCCTTTCAAAACTGTCACATTGGTCACTTTGACCTGTTCATCTCCCTCTATGGGGTCTTGTCTCCACTCTAACACAAACTTCTATAACATTTCATTTGTGTCCAATGTGAATATTGAATCCAGCTTGTGTTGAATAATCAAGGAATTTCATGACTGCATACTTTTGTGTATGACTGACATCTGCTATAGTATCCTAGTTATATATACTTGAATCCTGTAAATTGACTGCCTAATGTGTTGAAGAATCAAGAGTGTTTCCCATGGATGACATCCCTAGCTTCCCTATCAATTCTTCAAGTGATCAAGGATTAATATCATGCTTAATAGAGTCTATGGGGAAAAACCAATTATTTTCCTAGTGAAGCAGCTGCAGTCTGTGATACTAGATGCAACAGTTGAGCCGTATAAAAGAAGAAAATGTTTGAGTTGAATCAGCTTTGGTGGACACAGTTATATCCAATATATTTGAGCATTGAAACTAGATTTTACCTTTTATTTTTCAAAGTGTAGTTTATATTCTTGGGGAATGATATTGTGTAGTTTATATTCTGGGGAATGATAGCGTGGTCCCTCCAGAGCTCCAAAAACTTGAGGTGCTGGGGAGACCTCAAAATTTCCAAACCCTCAAAATCTGTTGCTTCCAAATTTGATTTGACATGGAGCTCTTGAAAATTTCCTAGTCCCCAATATCAACTTTCCATTGAATTGGGTGTAACTTTAGGGTGAGGGTGGATTTGGAGCAGTTTTGGAGCTCCAAGTTGTTTTTCTTTTTATTTTTTCCTGTTGTTTTTCACAAAGCTGTTTTTCAATTCTAAAATAGAATAATTTGGAACTTTTTTTTGGTCTCCCTCCACCTCAAAATCAGATTCCCCCCACCTCAAAATCAGATTTTGAGGTGGGGGGAACGCTATCATTCCCTTATATTATGATCCTCTTGTAGGATGACAGAAACAGTCTCCTCGCGTCCCATTTTCTGCCTATTTTGGCCAGAACTTATGGATATCTATGGCAAACTAGTTGGGTTATTGATCGAAACAGCTTTGCCATAACTCAGATAGTCAATGAGGTAAAAAGCTTGATGGAAAATGATATTGCCATACTTTAATTTTGGGGACTACCTGGTCAGTTTAATTTTTATTGTTAACCATTTCCAGTGACCAAATGAATGGATGGTGGAAATGGGATAGGGCATATTTTTGTCCTAATAGGTGGACCAGAATTTTTCTCCTCATCATTTATGTGAGAACATATTCTTAGTAGACATGTTTGTATCTTGTTTAAATAACCTGAAGGCCTTATAGACCTTGGCAAATTATGATGAGTAACATGTTGATGTTTCATGACTGGAATTCCAGGTACATCATATTTGCAACCGTGCATCATTTGCAAAATTTTCTGGGCTCCGGGTTGAAGCAGATTTTATAGAAGTTCCTGGATTGTTACTGGAGAAATGGTTAGTCGTCTCATTTACAAGTACGATGTAAAAGGAAATTCATTTTGATGTTGTTTCTTACAGGAAAAAAAATACTTTTTTTTAGGTGTTACGAGAGCATTTGTTTGAAAATGATATCCGGTTATCACCAGGTAAAATTGTCTCCCCTATCTTCTTTCTCTTGATGTTTTTCGGAGGATGGCTTAGAGAATTTTTTGTTTTTGGTCTCTTCATCACAGCTGGAAATGTAATTGGGAGAACATTTTTATTTTATCTTTGTTGTTGCAAATTTTGTTCACAACATGACTAAGCTTTTAACAGTTGCAACTTGCAACCATTGTTTGAAAAAGCAACTTGGGAGTGGAAATTGGCCTGGAGGCAAGTCCAAGGCAACTCGCTCTAGTTTGACTTAAAGCCTAAAAAGTTTTTGAAGTTTTGGGAAAAAAATGAAAACTAAGAAATTATAGAAAAATCCCAAAAAATAAAAATATATAGAACATGTAAAATAATATGAACTTAAAATTGAATTAATAAAAAATTAATGAATTTTATTAATTAAAGTTAAAAAAGGTTGAATTTATTCAATATTTCAAAGCCGGTCCTCCACTTTGTGCATTGTGCTTATGAATGCCTTCAATCTTTGTGACAGTTTCCTAAAACACTCCAAATTGAAATTCCCATACCAGATTTGGGACTCGAGTTCGGTTCTAGTTGATCTAACTTCTTGAAAATACCAGGTGAATAGTAAATCCAAGATTAATATCTCATAAGTGTGAGATTTTTTTCCCTTTTTGTGTGAGAGACAAGTCTATGATTGGAAGAACTCAAAAAGTAGGCATAAGTAATAAAGTTCATCCAAGATCAACCAACTATTGCAAAAGAGATTACAACTTTTGGAATGTAGTAACGCTTACAAGTAAGAGTATGGAGTTAGTGGATACAAATGAGACGATGATGAGTAAACATAGCTTGTCTATAGGAAACTAAATAGAAAGATGAAAAAGCTAAAAAAATGATCAAAATGTAGAAGAAAATAAAAATGCTAAGAAAAACGCTAAAAAATAGTAACGCTAAACTTATGGCATATGAAAAAATGCATTAAGAGTGAGGATCAAAGGGTTTTGGTGAAGGATGAAAAAGTCAACAAAAGTTGGAGAATTTGTTTTAAAAAATTATTAAATGACGAACACAATGGAAACATAGCAGTAGAAGGAACGTTGACATTAATGAGGGCAAGGGTCATATATATATTTGTAAAATTAAGATATTAGAAGTGAAAGAAGCTTCGAAAAATATGAAGATAGGAAAGGCTTTAAGACCAGATGGTGTCTCGATAGAGGTTTGGAAGTGCACAGGGAAAATTGGGAATGATTGGCTGATCAAGCTGTTCAACAAGGTGTTGAGAAAAAAGATAGACCAGACAAATAGAGGAAAAGTATTGTCTACTTATTTACAAGAACAAATGAGACATATAAAATTATGTGAACTATAGGGATCTAACTTATGAGCTACACTATGAAGCTCTGGGAGAGTGATTGAGCAATGACTAAGGCTTGAAATGAGTGTATCATGAAATCAATTCAGTTTTATACGAGGAAGGTCAACAACGGAGGCTTTTTTCCCACTTAGGCAATTGATTAAGAAGTTTACGGCAAAAGGAAAAGACCTCCATATAGTCTTTACTGATCTATAGTAAGCTTATGATAGAGTACCTCAAGATTTGATTTGGTAGGTATTAGAAAAGAAATGAGTCTCTAGACACTACATTGACTTGGTGAGAGATGTGTACGATGGAGTGCTAATTAGTGTATGAACAACTAGTGGAGAGACGAGTGAGTTTTCAGTGACAATAGGTCTACATTAGGGGTCAACATTTAGCCCATACCTCTTTGTCTTATTTATGGATGACTTAACTAGGCAGCTACAAGATGAGGTATCGTGGTGCGTGTTGTTCGCTGCTGAAATGGTTTTGATCGAAGAGGCCCAAAACGACATCAACACAAAGTTAGTATTTTGGAGAGATGCTCTAGAATCTAAAGGTTTTAAAATTAAGCGAAATATGACAGGGTGTATGGAATGCAAGTTTAGTAATAATAAGAGTAGAGACAAGGAAGTAGTTAAGATTGATGGTCAAGAAATACCAAAAATCGAGGAAAATGAAGAGATTAGGGAAGATGTCGCACATAGAATTAGAGTTGGGTGGGTGAAGTGAAGATGTGTAACTGGAATTTTATGTGATCGCCGCATACCAATGAAGTTGAAGGAAAGTTCTGTAGGACAGTTGTGAGACTTGCTTTGCTCTATGGGCTAGAATGTTGAGTGGTCAAAAAATAAAATATCCATAGAATGAGTATAGTGGAGATGAGGATGTTGAGATGGATGAGTGGCAAGACAAAAAGGGATAGAATTCAAAATGAATACATTTGAAAAAATTTAAGTATGGCACCAATAGGCGATAAGATAAGAGAGAATAGACTTAGGTGGGCTAGCCATGTGTGGCGCAAACCGTATACAATACTTGTTAGGAGGTACGTTTGGAAGGTTCATAAAGGGCAAGGGGTAGGCCCACAAGGACACGGTTGGAAGTAGTGAGAAAAGATATGAGAACTCATAGACCAGGATTCCTATAGCCGATCCTAATTAGTTGGGAAAAGACTTTGACGATGATGATATTAAGGTTGTGGTTTGCGTAAGGTTTCAACCTTAAACATTCAAATTAAGGTGCACCTCCGAACTTTGTCATGAGATGCAATTTTGGTGTAAAAAATTATTATGATGATGAGAGAATCTATGATTTTCTCTTATTATAAAATTTTAAGCTCTAAAAATAGTTCAAATGAAGCAGATCTATAAGTACATGAAAATCTTGAAAATGGGCAGTCCAGAGCAGTGTTTTAAAAAACGTCGAGTCGAACCAGACTCGCCCAGTTCGACTCGGAAATCGTGAAAAGGGGACCGGATCGCCTAAAAAATCGAAAATTGTCAGGTTCTAGAGAGAACCGGACGATTCTGTACAGTGAATCGCCGATTAACTGTACGGAATCGGCGAGTCCGAACAGTGAATCGGCGAGTCCGTAGGGTTATTTTTTTTTTTTTTTTTTTTTTGTAATCCATGATTGATTTTTTTGTAATACTTGATCGTATTGTTTTGTAATCCATGATCGTAATTTGTTTTG